GTGCTTCGTTAATGTTGTAGTGTTTTGCACCTCAGGGCCAACGTAATTGGAAGCTAGAATTGGAAACCAACTTCAGCTTCGTAGCTAACTAGCTCTCTTAGCAAAGGAAGAGAAAAGACGACGTCATGGGGTCCTCAGAAGTTCTGGTGCACCCCAATAATGCCTGATTTTTTTTTTTTACATTCTTTTCATGTCTGACGGTGTTGACAAAAACTAGGGACAAATTTAAACGAAGTTGGAAAATATCTAAAAATTATTTTTAATTCAATTTATCGATACTTTTATATTTATTTATATGAGTACTTTTACTTAATAGTCATAATATATAAATTTAGTATTTCTTTAATTGTTTTAAACTATTATAATGTGTTCTGCTCCTGGACAAGGGATTTTACAGGCATCATCCTACAATGTTTAAAATAAAAAAATATTCAGCAAATACAAGAAAAATATACATTGTTGTGCTCACATGACTCAGGTTAGTTTAGTCAGATATTAAAAATATATTTTGTGTATATTTTATTCAAATTTGGTGGCCTTTTTGTATATCAGTGATTCTTGAGAATAGGGACAAAATCCTATGGATAAAGCACCAAATTTGAATAAAATATACACAAAATATATTCACAAAAAGGCAATAAAAGGATTAAAACATGCTGCAAAACGTAGATAAGAAGACACAACAGCGGGAATAATGCTCTCAACGTGAAAAAGCCTTTTACATTTTTTTCAATGGAAAAAATCGATCAGAAAGTTTGATAAATCTGACCAAAATGCATGTAAACACTCAACATCACGAAAAAACACACTCCAGATTATTACGGATCTGTTCAAGTTAGTCAATAAATTGATTAAATCTTTACCGGCTCGATATTTTTCCAACAAATACTCCGCTAACATTCGGCACGCTAAGCTAAAAATGCTAACACCGAGCCGTGTGGCGAATGAGCTCAACTCAAAATAATAGTTATAAACCATGTCAGAAGAAAAGTAACTTACCAAGTGCAGTAAATAACTCAGACATGTGGCGAGTAAATAGTCCTGAAATGACTTGGCTTCTGTTGCTTCGGTGGGAATCTGTGATTCTGGGGGCGGAGGCAGTGAATTAACTCCTTCAGTGTTAGAGCCGCTGGTGGAGTTCAGAGTTCAGAAGTCAAGAGTTATTGATTCCATTTTAACACCTCTAGATTTGATACGGAAACACTTTGTTTTAACACTGGATTTTAACTACTAATAATATACACCCCAGAGTTACATAAACAGAAAGTGACTCTATTAGAGTAAAAACAACCCTCTTTTGCACAAAGTCTATTAACACCAAAACATTTAACACTTTTGAATTTGCTGTGTATTATGGCATGAAGATATAGATTTGAAACAGGAGATGTCAAATTTGATCTCATTTTGAAGTAAACATATATATTTTTTATTGCAACTTAGTAGATAAGGCTTGTACAGCTTCTTATTGCTAATTCAATCAGCACATTTTATCCTGCTGATAAAATGTGCTTGATTTTGGGAAGACCCTGCTTTACCTGGAGAGGTGACAGATTGCCTGGTGAAGGACACATTGAAGGTTGGCTCATCTCTCAGAGGAGAAGGATACATCCTTCTGCGGATGAAGAAGCCAGCACCGCAGCAGAACAACACCCCCATCATGAGCAGGACCCTGAGAGGAAAACGCAACATGGTGCAATATTACAGTAAAGAAGCTGCTCCTCAAACAGATCGCTTCAGTCCCAAGTAGAGTGCCTCAATGCACTCTGGATCACAACACCAGAGTGCTAATCCCAAATTATCTGCCTTACACAGGGTTTCCCCCAGTGTATTATAAGCCTGGCGGCCCGCCACGCTTTACTAGCTTTGCATGGCACTCAGCAACTTCATTTAAATATGAAAACCTCTGCTAGGCACAAGGGGATGGGGGTGATAGGGGAACACGGACACACAGCATTTTTGACCATTTTTGGCAGTGCTCGACTCTGACAAAAACCTCTTGCCGAAAGCCCTCCATCTGCATGCGCACGGCAGAACAAGGTGTCAATAGTTGCCGAAAATCCCATTTTTCGTCCTGTGTTTATTCCTAAAGGATAGGTTTATAATAGATAGGTTTATAGTTTATGCATTTAAAGCCGACAGCGTGCGGACCAATCACACCACTGGCGCTTCTGTGCTTTGCCTCTGTGCTTTGCCTCGCGCGCTGCCGCTGCTTTACCTCAGCGGGATCGCGCGCACCTCCTTTCACTCAAACTGGACACAGGCTGACCTGTATGGCTATTTACAAACCTACTGTGAGGAATTATGATATTTTGGAGAACTCTAGGTAAGAGTTTAAAACCCGCCGCGTTAGCTCT